TCCCCGACGGCGCGGGCGCGAAACGTGACGTTACCGGCCACCCTCGCCCCTCCCTCCCCCGGGTAACGCCCGCGATCGCCCCGGAGTGGAAGAGCGTTCTCCAAACAGCACATATATGGAATCTGAAGCCGCACATGTCCTCATCCCGGGGTCGGCGGAATGGCGTGAGCCTCTCGAATCATCTTCTTGACTTTGACAAAGGGGTCCTCTGCAACGCGCAGGGACATCATGGCCAGGGCCTGGCTGCCAAGCTCCCGAGCCTTCGACTGGAGGATGGCGGCCGCCTTCTTACGCCTGGCAGTGCCGCCCGTGGTCGGCTCGCTGCGGAGCTGCGCCAGAGAGGGCGGCGCCTGGACCAGCGTCGGCAAATACTTCCCAGCGCTGCCGCTCACGTCTGGGCTCTTCAAAATCTCAACGGCCTTCTCGATCGCTTTGACCTCCTCCATACGCAACACCTGGTTCTCCTCGAACATCTTGGACCCGGAATCACCCGCCACAAGGATGTCGGCGAGCATCTTTTCGTCCATCGCTTTGGCGTTGTTCACGACTTCCAGGTCACCCTTGGCCTTCGCCGCAGTCTCGAGCCTGCGCGCTTTGCGCGCGATCTTCTCCCCTACCGTCTCGGTGTCCGACTTGATGTTCCGCCACAATGCCCCCTGGCACGTTGAGGCGTGGTAGACTGCCAAGGGTTACCAGGCAGGGCTTCTGCTTCGCTGCCAAAAACAGACCCGCTCCCCCGAGGCCACGATCCCTCGTTGAAAAAACTGTGCGTCGAGCTCCTGGGGCCACGATCTCCCGTAGGCAGCCATGGGTCCGCGCTCCCGAGGCCAGGATCCTGAAAAAACCATGGATCCACGCTCCCGAGGCCACGATCCTTCGAAGACGCAGCGGATCCGAACTCCCCAGCTTCCAAGACGGCCGAGGCAGTCCACCAAGGCGCTCAAGATGTCTCCAGGAAAGAGGGTCCCGAGGCGGCCCAAAATGACCTCAAGACGACCCAAAAGGCCCCCAAGACAGCCCGAGAGGGCCACCAAAAGACCCCGGGTAGGGCCCGAAGAATCCAAAATCAGATGTGCTCCTCCGGTGTTCGGAAGACTTGGGCGTCTTCACATCTTCGGACTTCCTTCAGCTCCGGACGGGCCTGGAGGGTTCCGAGATCGCCCCAAGAAAGCCCAAGAGGGCCCCAAAATGGCCAAAAAAATTCTCCAAGACGGCCTCGAGACAGCCCAAGAGGGTCCCTAGACGGTCAAGGACGGCCCCAAGAGAGCCCCAAGCTGGCCCGCGAAGGCCTCCCGAGGGACCCTGGACGCCCATGACGACCGCAAAAAGTAAGAGACCTCCCCAACGGCGAAGAGGGCCTCAAGACGGCACAAGAGAGCCCCAAAACAACCCAAAAGGGCTCCAAGACGACCCAAAATAGCCCAAGGAACCTGCAGGACTGCCCCACAGGAACCCAAGACAGCCCCAAGACGACCCCGATGAGCTCCATGAGAGTTCCTCCAAAAAAAAAATATAAAAACGAAAGGTGACACATGTGACGGCTGGCATCATTCTCTTCATCCTCCTCCTCCTCCTCCTCCTCCTCCTCCCCACCACCACCACCACAACCACCACCACAACCACCATCATCATCATCATCATCATCATCATCATCATCATCATCATCATCATCATCATCATCATCATCATCATCATCATCATCCTGATCCTCATCCTCATCCTCATCCTCATCCTCACCCTCATCCTGATTATCATCCTCATCCTCATCATCATAAGCATCATCATCATCCTCATCCTCATCCTCATCCTCATCATCCTCATCATCATCACCATCATCATATTCATCATCATCATCATCATCATCATCATCATCATCATCATCATCAGCATCAACATCAGCATCAACATCAACATCATCATAGTTGATCATCATCGTCATCGTAGTCATAATCATCATCGGCAGCATCATCATCATCATCATCAATTGTCATCATCATAATTAGCATCAGCATCATCATCATAATCCTCATCATCGTCAACATCATCATCAGCATCACCATCATCATCATCATCAGTTGCATCATCAGCATCAACATCGGCATCATCAGCATCAGCATCATCAGCATCATCATCGTCATCGTCATCGGTTCCATCATCAGCATCATCGTCATCATCATCAGCATCAGCATCAGCATCAACATTATCATCATCAGCAGCAGCAAAAGCAGCAGCAGCAGCATCCTCATCATCAGCATGATCGGCTTTGCCGTCGCCGTCTTCGTCATCATAATCGGAATCGTCATCATCATCATCATCACCACCACAATCATCATCATCATCATCAGCATCATCATCATCGTCATCGTCATCGTCATCGTCGTCGTCATCGTCGTCGTCATAGTCACCGCCACCGTCACCGTCGTCATCATCGCGTCATCGTTATCACCGTCGTCAAATTATCTTACCTTACGAATGAGGTTCTCATCTCCCTCGTCCGCCACAGCCAGTCCTCTTCATCTGCTCATCCTCATCCTCATCCTCCTCTTTCTCCGAATCATCGAAGGATTCGTCCTCCTACTCGTGTTCAACAATGACGCGGCGGGGAAGATCACGTGACATGTTGCGACTCTCCCAGGCCTCGGGACACGAAGGGGCGCGCGCTCTGGCTTCCTCCCGAAATCGCGAAGCCCGGGAGCTGGGCTGGCACGGCGGCGGGGCTTGCTGCAGGCAGGCGGATATCATTGAGCTTCTGCGCCAACATCTCGAAGTTTGCCCTGGCGTTCATCTCTTCCTTCTCCAAGGCCAACAGCTGGTCCTGGAACTTGTGCCGCAGCTTCTCCATGATGGCCACCACCCCGCCAGACTGGGACTCGTACGCAGCGGCCTCAGGCGGCCCCTGGGCCTGGTCGAAGCCAGCAGCGGCGTCCATCTCCAGGAACGACTCCGTCACCAGCCTCGCTTTCTTCGGGAGCCAGTCCGCATCGCGCACCTGCGCCAGAGACTGGGGCACGTCTGCCTCCCTGCTCTTGAGCACCTGAACGGCGCGCTCGAGGGCGTCGATGGACTCCCCGAAGTCCTCGTGCTGGGCGTCGTAGTGTCTTTTCTCCTCGTCGCGCACCTCCGTGGCCGCCCCAAGATCCGTCTTGGCTCGAGCGATGAGGCCCTCGAGTTCCTCGACCTCGCTCGCGAGCGCAGCGGCGTCGGCCTCCGCCTTGCCGATGTCGGCCTCAAGCTGGACGATCTGGGCCTCCGCCTCGGCTATGCTCTTCTGCTTCTCCTCGCGGAACGAGGCGCAGAACTGATGAAAGTTGGCGAACTCCACCTCCTCGGCGTGCTTCTCATCCAGGCCCTTGGCCCTCATCTCGTCCAGCATCCCGATAACCTTTTGCAGCGGTGTGACGCGAACTTCGACTTCAGAAGCGATGCTCACGGTGGCCGTTGCAAAGAGAGCCGCCGCCGCCACCAGTACGGAGCGGACGGCGGCCATTGCTGCGTTAGCTGGATGCGGATCACGATCGGTCAGGAGAACTGGGACTGCACTTGAGCCAAACGGCTACGGAGGTGATGGGGAGGATGAGACAGAGGGGGAGGGTGGGAGGAGGAGGAGGAGGAAAGGAGGAATGGATAGGGGAAGGGGAGGGAGGAATGGGAGGGGGAGGGCGTGAGTCTGCTTCGCTGGCGGTCGGCTTCGCTTCGCCAATGGTCGGTATTGCCCCAGCGGTCGGATTCGCCGGCGGTCGGTTTCGCATGTTCGGTCTCGCTAGCGATCGCTTTCACCAGCGGCCAGTTTCGCTGGCAGTTGGCGCGGCCAACTGTCAGCCACGTCGGCGAGGCTGTTCCAGGCGCCTGTCGTCGCCGGCGCCTTCGTCATGGTCGGCGTCGGCCCCGTCGTCGCCTCTGCCTGCCGTCTGAGTCGTCTGCGCCGCCGCCGGCGCCGCCGCCGTCATTGTCGTCGGGTGGCGCGGTCGCCGTCGTCGCCGTCGTCGTTGCCTGTCGCCGTCGTCGACGTCGCGTTCGCCGCCACCGCCCTTCGCCGTTCGCCGTCGTCGCGTCGATGCTGGGCGGACGGGCGAGTCGGGCAGGCGGATCCTCCCAGGAAGGTCGGGCAGGCGGGACCCCAACGGGTGGGCGGGTGGACTCTAACGGGCCAGTCGGGCGGGCGGGCCCTGAAGGGCCGGCCGGTCGGGCGAGACGTCAAGCAGGCGGGCGAGCTTGCGAGCAGGTGCACCTGCGGGCCCGAAGGGGCGGATCGGTCGGGCGAACCCTGATGGGGGCATCGGGCGGGCGGACCCGAACGGGCAGGTCGGGCGGCTGGGTTAGGCAAGCGGACCCTCAAAGGTGGGTGGGGCGGGCGGCATTCCCAGCAGACGAACCTGCGGACCCTGACAGGCGGGTTGGGAGAAAGACGACAACGACGACGAATGACAACGACGGACGCCCATCACGACGACGACGACGACGACGACGACGACGACGACGACGACGACGACGGCGACGACGACGACGACGACGGCGGCGGCGGCGGCGGCGGCGGCGGTGGCGGCGGCGACGGTAGCGGCGGCAGCGGTGGCGGCGACAACAACGACGGCGAATGCGAACCAACGACTGCACAGCCGCTTGCGACGTTGAACGGACGAGGGCGGCAGCGGCAGACAGGCGGACCAAGAGGCCCCGCCTGCCGCGCCGCCACCGGCTCGGCCGCTGCGGCCGACGGGGGCGATGCGGGCGGCGGGGCGCCAGCGGCGATGCGCGGGGCCAGGGACCCGAAGGCCGCCACCTTCTGCGGCAACTCATGGGAACCTCCCGTACCGTCGTGTTGGCTCTTGCGGATCGGCGCTGATCGATACGAATGCAAGCTAATCGGCGACAAATCGACGCTAAATCGACGGCAATCGACGCTAATCGGCGCTAAATCGGCGCTGTCTCACCGACCACCGAACACGAATCGACGCTAACGCACTCTGAAGATCAAATGGCGAGGGTACCGAAGGCTCCAATGATTTGCTACCCAACGCCACCAGCGTGGAGGCGCTGGAGCGGGCCTCCACCATGCTGAGCTCGAGCTCCTCGACCTCGGGGCGGCGCCGGTGTGCGCACGGACGGCTCGCGCCCCGGTCCTACCCACGGCCCCGCCCTGGGCCGATCCGGGTCGGCGCAGGCACGCCACCAGACATCCGGCGCTGCGGAAGAGATCGAAGCGGCCAGTCTGTCGCCATCTCTGGCCGCGGGAGGCCGCTCGCGGGCCTCGCCGTCAAAAAACCGCGCGCGATGAGCCCCACCCCCACACCAACCGTCGGCTCTCGTGAGTCGACGGGAGGCGGGGCCAGGGTTCGGACTGCGCCGCGTGTTCGGCGGATCCCGAACCCTACCCCCGCCGCCCACAGAGCTGCCCGCATAGTGGATCGACGAGGGTAGGGCTTGGATGATACTTAATATGAGGTACATTATAATATATTATAGTGTCATAGTATAATATATAATACCGTATAACCGAACAATCACAATGTAACATGACATATAAAATGAATATTGCGACTCTACTATGATGATACAGTATGATACAATGATGTGATGTGCTACCTGCTGATACAGCGTAAAACTACAATTTCGATAGCGTAACATGATGTAAAGCGATACAAAATGATATGCGATCATATACTACCATACGGTATCATCTGGCACTATATAACGTGGTACAATACAATGTTAGATAGTACACGAATACATAATATGATATCATATGATACGACAGAATATGGTACAAACGATATACTATGATAACATAAAAATTGCAACATGACATATAATACAATGTGAGAATCTCAAGTTGCATCTCAAAAACTGATACAATGTAATGTGATTGAACAGAAACCCATGAAACGCAGTACCATAAATTATGATAAAGAATACCATATACAAAAAATGTTGATATCATCAGCTATACTATAATAAAACTTGTTAGAGCTTCGTACACTGTATGATAATACGATCTAGTACGATGACGGTACTACCAAATAAGATGATAGCATACTAAAGTGTGTAATAACTGTGATCTAATGTGGTGTCATCTAAAACACAATAAAAGTGATGAAACATCTTGAAGCATGAAACGATACACCATAATATGATGAAGTAAAAAGCCATAGGCTACATCATACCATAAACCATTAAAAACCTTATACATTGTAATGAAACAGTATACAATAATGCGTAACACATTACGATAAAAGACAGAACACTACCATATGGTATGAGACAGTGTGCTGCAACGTGATAAGATATGATATGAAATGGCACAATCTGAAAGTACATGATATAGATGAGGTGGCATAGTACGGTATGCGATATATATATATATATATATATATATATATATATTATACAACGTAACAGCATAAAACACAGCAGTGAATACTTTGTACTAACAGACTATGGAAGTATATGCAAATAATTCGAGTACAACACGCCAAAATGTAATAACTACGATACGCAGTAATATAGCATACCATTTGATAGAACGCACTGAAATAAAATTGCTGTCATCTGGTATGGCTTAGCTCAATGCAACACAGTATACTTTTAAAACATGTCATGGAAGAATATATGATGAGTTTCGAATACTATACTCTGAAAAATTACTGTATGAGACGATGTAACCGAATATAACATACTATAACAAATACAATGCAGTGTAATGGGATGTAAGTGAATGCGAACGTATACATCTACATATGTATAACCATAGTTGTATACATATCTACACGTAGCAATACACATATACGCATGTATACACACATACCTATATATATACAAAAATACATTCATATCTACACACATCTGTACATATATCTATATATGTGCATAAACATATAGGTATAAGTACACATTACAAATACATATACAATTGTACATGTATACCTTTCGCCGCCGAGAAGGGTCCAGAGGCCCCCGGGGCCCACGCATCGAGAAGCCGGAGCGCTAGATGTCTGGGCCCTCCTCGGCTCGGCCGCAGGAGGGCGCCCGGGGAGCCGAAGGCGGGGCGCACTTAGGCAGGCAGGGGCCGGAGCCCTGCGCAGGTGCGTGCGCGGCCGGCGCGCTGCCCCGGCGACCCGCCCCTTCACATCCCGCACCACCGCGTCCAGGCCCGACCTCAGCTCGAGGATCTCGGCGCGGTCGGCGCTCCGCTGGGCCACGGCGTCCTCCGCGGCGCGCAGCGCGGCCGCGCCGCCGCGCTCGACGCGGCAGGAGAGCGCCTGCACCGCGGCCTGCAGCTCCGTGGACAGCCGCTCCTGCTGGTCGGCCAGCGCGCCGGCGCCCGCGCGCGCCTCGGCGCGCGCCTCGGCGAGGGAGCGGTCCTGCGCGCGCAGGGCGGACTGGAGGCACGCCACCTGAGCGACGGCAAAGGAAACCGGGTCTGCGCACGTTGGCACAGCGACCGGCGGCGACGATAGGGGCGAATAGCCCAGGTGCGGGCATCACACGCATTCGCCCGGGAGCCTTCTCGAAGACATAGATCATCGGCGCACCTGAACACACGTATGGCTCTCCCCTGGGCCATTCGCCCCTATCGTCGCCTCTGAAGCGACCTCACGCGGTGGCTCCCAAACGGGCTGCCGGCGCGGCATGCCACCCTGACAACGAGGGCACTCACGCGCGGCCTCACGCGGGACGCTTGCGCGCCAGCGCCGGTGAAGACGACCACGTTCGTCTGCGCCGCTCACCTCCGTGGCGGCGTCGGCCACCCGCCGCTCGAGGCCCTGGTCCCTGCTCTTGACGGAGGAGGCCAGGGCGCCCACCTCCCCGGCCGTGGCCGCCAGCCGCCCCTCCAGGGCCTCGACGCTGCCCTGCACGAAGGCGCGGAGGTCGGTCTCGAGCTGCTCAAGCAGGCGCTGGGAGCGCTGGAGGAACTCCTCCGCGTGCGCCCCGGCGGCGAGGGCCTCTGAAGGGGCCCACAAACACACAAATGAATACACACAAATAAAAAGGTTCCCCATATTTTCCCATATTTTCTGGGTTTTTGTCCTCCCCCCCACTTCCCATATTTTCCCATATTTTTTGGGGGGATCGACGATTAATTGTGTCTGTGTTTTTTTCCCTCCTGAGCCTCGTCCGCCACCTTGGCCACGGCCGCCAGCCGCAGCTCGTGCCGCCTGCCTCGGGCGAGGCGGGCGGCGGGGAGGAGGGAGGCCTGGCGACGGGCACGAGCTCGCCCTGACCCCGACATCTGGGCATCGCCACATTCGTCCTCACGGGGCGTTCTCCCCCGGCTTCGGGCCCTGGGACCATCACAGATCGATCCGGGTCGAAAAATGCAGCAGCAAGAGGGGGTCCAGGGCTCGGGTCCTGCGTTTTTGGGGATGCTGAAACTTTTGGCAACGTAGCAACTGATGCCACCATCCCTCGGCTTGGCGCCTCCTGGAGCATGCTGGCCAGACCACAGGAGGCGAGGGCGATCAGGGTATTGGCCAGGCCCTTTGCTCGAGGGGAGCCCCTGGACCAAACCTGGGGAACCGCATCCTTTTTGGTTTGGTTCGGGGTTCTCGTGCCCTGAGCAGACAAGATAGCATCTGAGTCTCGTTTAACCGATCCCCATCCCCAACGGCATGGCATGGGTCCCACTGGCCGATTTACCCCCTAGATGGGGGTATAGGTCGTTCCCTTCGGTTTTCGATGGGTGTATCCCTAACTGGGGTGGTAATTTGGTGGGGGTCTCGAAGGGGATGAGGATGGGGATGGGGATTGGTTAAACGATACCGAATATCGACGTCGCACCAGGAGCTGGGAAGTTGCAGGGGCGGCAGACAAGCACCACCGATCGGACGCGCGGACATGCGCGCAAAACGCCTTGTCCCCCCTGCTGCTGCTGCGACTGCTGCTGCTGCTAATGCCCTGCTGCTCCTCCTCCTCCTCCTCCTCCTCCTCCTCCTCCTCCTCCTCCTCCTCCTCCTCCCTCCTCCTCCTCCCTCCTCCTCTCCTCCTCCTCCTCCTCCTCCTCCTCCTCCTCCTCATCTCATCATCATCATCATCATCATCATCATCATCATCATCAGCATCATCATCATCATCATCATCATCATCATCATCATCAGCAGCATCAGCATCATCAGCATCATCAGCATCAGCATCAGCATCAGCATCAGCATCAGCATCAGCATCAGCATCATCATCATCATCATCATCATCATCATCATCATCATCATCATCATCATCATCATCATCATCATTTTCGTCATCATCATCATTTTCGTCATCATCATCATCATCATCATCATCATCATCATCATCATCATCGTCCTCCTCCTCCTCTTGCTCCTTCTCCTCCTCCTCCTCCGATTCCTCCTCCTCCATTCCTCCTCCCTTCCTCCTCCTCATCCTCTTCCGCCTCCTCCTCCTCCTCCTCATCCGCCTCGCCTCCTCCTCCTCCTTTTCCTCCGCCTCCTCCTCATCATCATCCGCCTCCTCCTCCTCCTCCTCGTCCTCCTCCGCCTTATCTTCCTCCTTAAATGAATTATAAGCATATGTGTTACCCGCTCGCGCAAAACAGCACTCGCATCTACCCTCCCCATTCCACCTGTTATCCTCTTCCTGCTCCTCCTCCCCCTCCTCCTCCTCCTCCTCCGCCTCATCCTCATCCATATCCTCCTCTTCTTCCTCCTCCGCCGCCTCCTCCTGCTCATTGTCCGCCACTGTGCCTGCACGATGCAGGCGTGTTAGAGTGCCAGGTGCTGATATGCAGGGACCCCCCCGCCTCGACTCGCGGACAAGAGGGGCATGCGCACCCCCCTGCTCCCGATGCCGCGGCCCCCCGCAAAAGCGAGGGGTCCGCGCTGCCGAGGCCGCGCTCCCCGGAATAAAGACTCGAAAATCACTATGGAGGAGGAGGAGGAGGAGGAGGAGGAGGAGGATACGGGTCCGTGCCTCGAGCTTCCACGACGGCCAAGGCAGGCAACCGAGGCAACCAAAACGGCCAGCTGTGTATCGAAGACGGGCCAAAAAGGGCCCGAGGCGGCCGGTCATGGCGTCGAGACGGTCCAAGGTTCCTCCAAAAAGGACCCAAGGGCCCCACGAGGACCTCTACCAGGGCCCGAAGAAGCCAAAAATCATTGAGCTCCTTTTTGTGGTTGGATGATGTTCGCAGTCTCGCATGCTCGGGCTTCCATCATCTCAATGCGGCCCAAGAAGCCTCTACGATGGAATAAGACGGCCCAAGACCCATCAGAGGGTCCCAGAGCCCTCCCAGGAGGGCCCCAAGAGGCCATAATCAATCACTTTCTGCTGGTCTCTGAGCGATGTTAGCGGTCTCGCCTGTTCGGGATCCAGAAGCTCCAAGACGGCCAAAGAGGCCACCCAACATCGCCCCAAGAGGCCCCCCAGAGGTCCCCAAGACGGCCCAGGAGGCCCCCTAAGACGGCTCAAGCGGGAGGCCACCAAGAGGGCCCAAGAGGGGCCCCTGAAGGAGAACACGAACCAACAGGTCTCGCCCTCCGCCACAAGATGACCCCGAGACCGCCAGCAGGCCCTCAAGAGGGACCCAAAAAACCTCAGGAGGCCCCCAAGAAGCCCAACTCATGCCCCAGGATGTCCCCAAGAGGCCCTCGAGCGGCCCAAAGACACCCCAGAAACCGCTTCTAAGAAGCTTTCGGAAGACCTCCCAACAGATCCCCACAGGCATCCAAGAGGCATCTAACCTAAAACCGAGGCAGTGTGACGGGATGGTCCGAAGGCCTCAATATATGTATAGACATAAACATACATAAGCTACCAGGCAGCCAAGCAGACAGACATACAAACATACATACATGGCTACAGTCATATGTACATACGCACACACACACATACCTGCACACATACATACATACATACATACATACATACATACATACATACATACAGCACAGTACAGTACAGTACAGTACAGTACAGTACAGTACAGTACAGTACAGTACAGTACAGTACATCACATTATATTATTTTACATTACATTACATTCCATTACATTACATTACATTACGTTACATTACACTACCTTACACTACATTGCATTACACTAAATTGCAATACATTACATTACATTACATTACATTACATTACATTACATTACATTACATTACATTACATTACATTACATTACATTACATTACATTACATTACATTACATTACATACATACATACGTACGTACTGCGAACACACAAACATACATACCTACACCCACACACACATACATGCATGCATACATGCATGCATACATACATGTACACATACATACATGCATACATGCATACATACATACATGCATAAAGAAATATGCATATCTGAATATATATACAGCAATTGCGTACATATATACATGCATGCATACATACATGCATACAAACATTTACATACAGACATACAAACCGACAGACCGACAAACAGACATACAGACATACAGGCACACAGACATACAGGCATACAGGCATAAATACACACATACATGAATACATCGATGCATGCATGCATACATGCATGCATACTTCCATACATAAATACATACACACGGTCACGCACACAGACATACATACATACATACATACAGTCATGCACGAATGTACACATACATAAAAATACATGCACATCTGCATACAGACAGACAGACAGACAGGCAGACAGACAGACAGAGAGACGTGCACACAAACATACACATACACATACACATATCCATACAGACATACAGACGTACATACACGTGCGAACATACATACCTACACACATGTGCCATCACAATCTACCACAACGCCTCGAGCCCGGTCTCCTCGTCCTCGCCCACTTGACCCTATTCCTTCTCCTCCTCATCATCCTCCTCATCCTCACCATCATCCACAACATCATCGTCATCCGCATCCTCATCATCAACATCATCGTCATACTCACCCTCACCATCACCATCGTCATCATCAGCATCATCAGCATCATCACCACCATCAACATCAACATCACCGTCATCATCGACAAAATCATAAACCTCATCATCAGCAGCATCATCATGTTCAGAATCAACACGAATCATCACCATCAACATCATCATCAGCAGCATCAGCATCACCATCACGAGTACCATCATCAGCATCGACAGCATCATCTTCGTCATCACCACCATCCTTACCACAATCATCAACATCATCAGCATCATCACCGCTATCGTCACCCCATCGTCCTATCGCCCCTTGCTGTCTCACTCTCTCTCTCTCTTTCTCGTTCTCTCTCTCTCTCTCTCTTTTTCCCTCTCTCTCTCTCTCGCTCACACACTTTCTCTATCTCTTTCTCTCTCTTGTCCCCATCCCCGCTCCCGACTCCTTCGAGGGCGAAAGCGCCCCCTCTGCAGAGCGCTCCGCCCGTGGTTTCGGCCCTGCCCGCCGGGCGCGTTCCTCCCCGCCCAGCCGGCTGGGCCCACGGCCTTTCTCCAGCAGCTCCTGCTGAGCCCTGCCCAACTCCTCAGCGGCCTCGGCCCGCGACTCCAGC